CAAAAGTATTCCCAAACTATTCGCTCGTTTTACGAGTCAATCGTTTGGCTATAATATTTGTGTAAGCGATGAAGGCGAAGGAAAACTTTTCGAACGGCCATTTCGAGATGAACTCCGAGCAATTTGGGGCATAGAGAAAGGAGAAAAAGCGAATGGAAAAGCTTGAAAAGATTCTTGGCTTTCTTAGCTTGAAAAGATTTTCAGCAATTCCCTTCAATTTTTCGAATGAATGGGATAATCTCGATTGACGACGTGGGGAATTTTGGGGAATAGGAAAAGGGGCACAAATTCATTCAATGCCCGGTGTTTGGTCGTGTCCCGAACAAGCTAGAGTCTGCAAAGTTCTCTATTTTCAAGTTACCATTGACTTGACTCTAGCCAATATCTAACCTTAGCCAATATCTAGGCTTTTAAACAGAAAACAACATTGTTTCTTTTAAATTTAAACTCTCTCAGTAGACTAAGAGAATTTAAAATCTCTTAGAAAATTTAGATTTCTTAGTAAAAGATCTCTCGTGTTTATCTTTTGCTTTATTATTCTTTGCTTTATTATTTCCATTGTCTAGGGTTTAGCTTTTTCAAGAATATCATTTAAAAACCTTTTCTTGGGATTCATCTTTCAATTGAAATCTATTCAAAACAATTAAAAATATCCTTTTTTTCCTTGAATTACTCAAATTGACTTGACTCAAATTGACTACCATTGACTTGACTCTAACCAATATCTAAGCTTAGCCAATATCTAGGCTTTTAAACAGAAAACAACATTGTTTCTTTTATTTAAACTCTCTTAGCAACTTCTCAAAGCGAATCTAACCCAATTTCGCCTTTTCAAACCTGTACTATTTTGTTTTCCTTTATGAATCGCGGTAAACTAATTGTAAAATGATTCTCAAAGAATTTTTCTCAAAGAATAAAACATTTTTCTGATCCAAATATTGTTGAGAAGCGGGAACAAAAAGCTATTTCTCTCAAAAATTTCTCGACTTCTGCCTAATCTTCATTTCCTTCACAATTTTGAACAAAGGTAGTCAAATTTAGTGTCAAAGAAAGAAGTTGAGTGTCAAAATATTCTATTCTTGTAAAAAATGGAGTCTAGTTGTTGTGAAATTGCTCGATAATTCAAAACAAGTGCGCCAGAAAGGACGTTGTACTTGATACTTGATTGACGTACTTGATTGACGTTTAACAAAGCTTTGCCAGTGATAAGAATCCAAGTTAAGCATGGACTGGCTTTAATTCAAGAATTTTTTGGCTCTTAGCAGTGACTTGACTCTTAGCTTGACTGCAAAACGTGAAAAATGACAGATTCGTCGGAGAGAAAGCCGATCAGCGCTCATTCAAGCGCTTGTTAAATGAGTTCTAGAAGTCCAATCTGGAAGTTTTTGATAGAAAAATGTAGCCAGGATTAAGGGCCACAATTCTCTATATAACAGTTGCCACTTTTGAAATCAATTAGACATTTGCCAGCTACTTTTCCAGTAGTTATTGTTGTTGCGTTATTGAGTTAAAGTTATTGCGATAATTCGCGCTGTATTTAGGCTAAAAGTGATCAGTGAGGACTAGGGCTGGTTTTAGCCATGCTTGGCGTGGTGTTGGCTTGATTTAAACTGAGCTTGTTTGCGGGAAATCCCGGCAGATGACGTAGGGAATGGTACGCCAACGCCTCGCTTCTCGCTTCACCTAGACTTGACTCTGGTTCGATTCCCCTCACTGCCTTACAGTTTTGGCTTCTTTTTTAACTTTACTGCTCAACTTTGTTACACTTGTTTATCTAAAATTGTTTTATATACTTGTTTTAAATAGACTTGTTTATCTAAAGTTCATTCAATTCTCTTTTTGTTTTTATCTTTTCGATCTTTCGATTGTTTTCCCTGGGATTTCTCTTTTTCGGGTTTGATTCCCATTCTTGGCCTACTTATTCGTCCTCTTCTCCCACCAATTGGTGTCTGTGATTCTTTTTTTCAAGTATCTCCTCTTTTCTTGGCTTTTCTTTGCTTTTCTTGGCTTTTCTTGGCTTGGCTCCTTTCACAGATGGAAAATCACCACGAAATTATTGGCTCTTTTTTCAATTCTTTTTCTCAAAGCTTTTTAGATCTGATAGCTTTCTTGTTCTTTAAGCTAGTGAACAAAAACCAAATCTTCTATTCTATCTATTGGCTATAGGCCAGGCTCAATAAACTTTTGATATTTTAGGAGCTTGGTGTATCTTATTACTCTCCATAGACACTAGAAACCTTTAAAATTAGTTTTTGTAACTTAACAAAGAAGCAAAAATGATAAGGCAGTGAGGGGAATCGAACCAGAGTCAAGTCTAGGTGAAGCGAGAAGCGAGGCGTTGGCGTACCATTCCCTACGTCATCTGCCGGGATTTCCCGCAAACAAGCTCAGTTTAAATCAAGCCAACACCACGCCAAGCATGGCTAAAACCAGCCCTAGTCCTCACTGATCACTTTTAGCCTAAATACAGCGCGAATTCTCGCAATAACTTTAACTCAATAACGCAATAACAATAACTACTGGAAAAGTAGCTGGCAAATGTTTAATTGATTTCAAAAGTGGCAACTGTTATATAGAGAATTGTAGCCCTTAATCCTGGCTACATTTTTCTATCAAAAACTTCCAGATTGGACTTCTAGAACTCATTTAACAAGCGCTTGAATGAGCGCTGATCGACTTTCTCTCCGACGAATCTGTCATTTTTCGCTTTTTGCAGTCAAGCTAAGAGTTAAGTCACTGCTTAGAGCCAAAAAATTCTTGAAGTAAAGCCAGTCCATGCTTAACTTGGATTCTTATCACTGACAAAGCTTTGTTAAACGTCAATCGGCGTTTTTCTTTTTCTGCAGCTCTGTTAGCCTTCTTCATTGTGCTTTGAGCGTTTTGCCATTTTGTTTTGCCAACTCAAAAAGCAAATCTTGTATTGAGGAACTTTAAGGAACTCTTATCAGATTTTCCCGCTTCTCAAACTTTAAACCTCAAAGTTTTTCAGGATAATCTTTGTTTCTTAAGCATCAATACCCAAAATTCAATGTTGTTTACGATTTTTTCCAATTTTCTCATCAAATCTTTTCACCACAGACGATTTTCACTTCAAAACTTGTATCCAGAATGTGGTCATGAGAAAATTCCCGTTTTTTCTGCTCTTGAAAGTTGAAATTATAGGGAAATTTTTACTTTAAAGCATTTCCCAAAAAAGTAGTTCCCGATTTCGCATTCAAACCTTCAAATCGCCGAATCCGATTACGTTTTCCTATTATATCTCTTCACAAATCTTTTCCCCGCTATGATCCTTATCTATCGGCTTCTCGTGAGACACCAAATCTCGTAAGTTTTTTTTGAAAGATTCATGATTTTAGAGTTGAATTTTTGATTTTGACTTCCTCATTGCGGTTACCTTTTCGAAAGTAAAAAAAAAGAATTTTTGGATGAGAAGGGAGGGCGTAACGCTTGAGTGATTCGGAAATGAAAACAAGAAGGGAACATTTATTGAAAAGGGGAAAACGATGAAAATTGCGATGAGCAATTGAGTGCAAAGAAGCGAAGAAATTGTAAGAAGAATCTAGCTTTCGAGATCCAAATTCTTTTAAAAACGACTGTGTCAGAGTTGTCAGAGTTGTCAGTTTCTGTGTCAGAGTCAGAGTAAAATCTATTTGCTAACTCTTTGTAATCGAAATTATTCCCCCAAATTGTCCCACGAGTAGTTACCGTAAATACTGTAATAGTACCCCACCCTCATAATGACGGTGCGGAGTGTTGCGTAGTCTAGCTTTGAACGAGTTTTTCTCGACACTGGTTTATGCTACAATACGCGCTTAGATATCAAAAAATAGCCCTGAATTTCAGCTATTTTTTGATACCAAAGACAGATTTTTTGAAAGTACAGGTGCTGTAAAAAAAATGAAATAATGAAATACTTTGCGACTACGCGACTGTACGAGGGGGATGGGGTACTATTACAGTATTTACGGTAGGTAGTTAACTAATTGGGGTAGATGTTAAACAAAGCTAACAAGAGGATACCACAAAATGACCGTAGCAGATTTTGACGCCGTAGAGGTGCAAACGCCTATCGAACACGGGGAATCCAATCCCTATAAATGAACAGTTATTAGTAGCCCAATTTCCTCTGTTTCACGATTGAAATTTGGGTGGATTCAGTGAAAAAGAGAAAACATTTTGTATTCATTTTTTGCCCATATTCAAAAACAAGCGAGAGAAACGTGTCCAAAAGTTTGGGTTCTTGTCTATTCGGGAAATCGTGCCGCGCGGTTATAAGGGCATTTTTCCGACCCTCATTTTGTGGCATCGCCTTTTAAGAAAGTTAACTTTTTCACTTTTTAGTCGTTTTCTTTAGGCAGCTTATAAATTTTTTTTTTGCCAAAGAAAAGCCTGAGCCTCTAAAAAACATTAATACCCAAAATTCGATGCTTGTTTATCATCAGAATGTTCTTGGTTCAGAACCAGAATGAAACACCCAGACTCAAGCCTTTAGATCAGGAAATTGCTCTTCAAATCTTTCCTCATTACTTTACAAATTTTCTATATGAAATCCCTATAAATGAAGAGTTATTAGTAGCCTAATTTCCTCTGTTTCACGATTGAAATTTGGGTGGATTCAGTGAAAAAGAGAAAACATTTTGTTTTTGGATTCTTAATTTAGAGATTCTTTAGATTTTTGAATTAGAGATTAGGCTAGGCTTCACCAAAAAATATAGGCAAAACTTTTCAATGAATGAAAGAGATATTTCTTTGCTGATCTTTGATAACCCTTTCATTTTCACATCAGAAAGAAGATTTCTACGTTTCGCTTTTTTCTACTTTGCTCTAAAGCTTTCTATTGAGGCCCTTTTTGTGAAAATGACATAATCTTTTTCTTCAAGAATTTATTTGTCTCTTTATTTTTGTTTCTTCAAGGACTGATTTTTTGTTAGACTTTTCAGTTTCACTATAATCAAAATTTTATGATTATAATGGTTTCAGTTGTTAAATACTTTTTTTAGGTTGGTACATATGCCGGGCGCAGAAGGTGCGGGGGCATCAAATCACTCACGAAATCACTACAGTCTTCACTCATTATTGTAAGTTGATTTGATCTTTATGATAACTAGAGGTTTTGATAGAAATTTAGAAATAAAGGAGTCTTTTTGAGTTGCTAGAGTTTATAATTTGCTGTTGTTGTTGCTATTGTTGTTGCTATTGTTGCTATTGTTGCTGTTGTTGTTGCTGTTGTTGCTGTTGTTGCTGTTGCTATTGTTGCTGTTGTTGTTGCTGTTGTTGCTGTTGTTGTTGCTGTTGTTGTTGCTGTTGTTGTTGCTGTTGTTGTTGCTGTTGTTGTTGCTGTTGTTGCTGCTGTTGTTGTTGCTGTTGTTGCTGTTGTTGCTGCTGTTGTTGTTGCTGTTGTTGCGTTGTTGCATTGTTGCTATTGTTGCTGTTGTTGTTGCTGTTGTTGCTGTTGTTGTTGCTGTTGTTGTTGCTGTTGTTGCTTGCTGTTGTTGTTGCTGTTGTTGCTGTTGTTGTTGTTGTTGCTATTGTTGCTGTTGTTGTTGCTGTTGTTGCTGTTGTTCGCTGTTGTTGTTGCTTTTGTTGCCATTGTTGTTGTTGCATTGTTGCTGTTGTTGTTGCTGTTGTTGCTGTTGTTGCTGTTGTTGTTGCTATTGTTGCTGTTGTTGTTGCTGTTGTTGCTGTTGTTGTTGTTGCTGTTGTTGTTGTTGCTGTTGTTGTTGCTGTTGTTGTTGCTGTTGTTGCTGTTGTTGCTGTTGTTGCTGTTGTTGTTGCTGTTGTTGTTGCTGTTGTTGTTGCTGTTGTTGTTGCTGTTGTTGCTGTTGTTGTTGCTGTTGTTGCTGTTGTTGTTGCTGTTGTTGTTGTTGCTGTTGTTGTTGCTGCTGTTGCTGCTGTTGTTGTTGTTGTTGTCCATAATTCCTTTCTTGTTATTGTTGTTGTTGTTTGTGTGTGACTTGCTGACATAATAATTGTTTATACAGGATTACCCACAATTACCCACACTCATTTCAGCTTCTCCAGCTTAGCGAAGAGTCAATGAATCGACCTAATTCTTTTTTATCATTAAATTGAATATTTCTCCTGCAATGTGTTTTCTGGATTTGATCAGAAAAGTTTCTAAACTTTTGTTAGAGCGCTGCAAAGTCGTGACACTCGTTTCCTGCGCTGAAATCGCGATTTTCTGGCTTTTGTAACTAGTTTCAATGCCTCAAAATCAAAGAAAACCAACTTCATTTACTCCTTTTTACTTATTATTTCCAAAATCTAGCATTTTTATTAGAAAACAATGAATTTTGATTAGAGATCAAAGTTCAAAATGTGAATTTGAACTGAGTGAAGGTAATTGTACAGTACAGTACCACCTTGTAGATTAGATTCTTGATTAAAGCTGAGTAATAAAAGCTTGTTTGATCTTGCTCTAGATCGAACTTTTAGAACCGAAGAGGATCGACGAGATGATCTTCTTGTTGTCTCGATTTGGCTCTTGATGCTCACTTATTCCCTCGTCTCAAATGTTTTGATATTGATTGGGATTTTGAGGAATACGAATATGAGAATGGCAACGAGGTGAGGAAAAGCTTGTCTCGTTTGAAGTCAAAAATTGAATCATCAAAAATGATTTTTCCAGTTACTGGTTTATCATTTCACTGGGTATTTGTGATATTGTGATGTCATTGATTTCATTGGTTCATTTAGTTCCCGCCACTGCGTTTCATTCAGGTGAGCAATAGTTGTTTAGCAAATGAAGCAATAAAGCAAATGTAGCAATAAAGCAATAAAGCAAATGAAGAAATAAAGCAAATGAAGTAATAAAGCAAATGAAGGAATAAAGCAAATGAAGGAATAAAGCAAATGTAGCAATAAAGCAAATGTAGCAATAAAGCAAACAGCTTCTTTTGCTGTTAAGTATTCGATATTTCAGCATATGTCGAGTTCCATTCATATCGGAACATTTTAATGATCTTTTTTTACGATCTCTTCTGGTATACAGCTGTTCTCCAATTGGGTCTAATGGCCTGTAATCGGTAAATTTATTCATAAAAGCTTAGGAATTAAAGCTGAACTTAGGAATTGAAGCTAAAGTGAATATTAAAGCTGAACTTCTTGACTCTTTCAGATTTGTCAGCATCGTCTACCCGATGGAGTACAAGAGAATGTTTTCCAGAAAACGATCGATAGCCATTTTATTCTTTGGCTATTTTCTGGGTTAGTTAAAACTCTCTTGAAGGTTAAAACTATTTTGGAGGTTAAAACTATCTTGAAAGTTAAAACTCTCTTGAAAGTTAAAACTATCCTTCAAATTTCAAACAATGTTTAGGCTTCCTCGTTTCACTGCCGACTTTATTCCCTTGTTGTCACACTCTATGGCACAGTAACTACTATATCACTGTTTATGATCCAATGGATACATGGTTTGAAAATAATGGTTACCATCTGCAAGTTGACCTCTAGGTACAAGTACGTGGATATGGCTGTAAACTCACTGTCATTGATATTAATGATCTTTTCCTATGCTGTGATCATTTATAAAGTTCGAGAAAGCGGAAGAGCGATGGCAAAATATCAGTTGACAATTAGGACAAGGGTGAGTCTGAGTCTGAGTCTGAGTTTTTTTCACTAACTTTTAGAGAAGTGTTTATGTCAATAGAAACATTTTTGTACTTTAGCCTTTATAATAGATGATGAAAAGAAACCATTTTTGGCTTACTCAATTATTCATTTCTCTTGAGCAACCAGAAATGAGTGCGTCAAAAGAATGTATTTCTACACTGCTAGACATAATTTTACGACCATCCAATTTTTCAGCAACTTTTTAAGAAAAATGAAATCCCATCAAAAATCATATTTTAAATAGTATTTTGAAATATAATTGATGTAAAAAGAGAGGAGAAAACCCGAGCATCAAGTTCAATTTTTTGAAAAGAACAGAATTTATTGAAAAACGATGCTGATCAGTGGCCAGTGAGCAAGTGGCAAGTGAGCAAGTGGCAAGTGAGCAAGTGGTAAGTGAGCCATTGCAAGTGGCAAGTGAGCAAGTGGAATGTGGCAAGTGAGCGTGGCAGTGGCAGTGGGTGGCAGTGAGCATGGCAAGTGGGGGGTGAGGCAAGTGGCAAGTGAGCAAGTGGCAAGTGAGCCATTGGCAAGTGGCAAGTGAGCAAGTGGCAAGTGAGCAAGTGGCAAGTGAGCCATTGGCAAGTGGCAAGTGAGCAAGTGGCAAGTGAGCAAGTGGCAAGTGAGCCATTGGCAAGTGGCAAGTGAGCAAGTGGCAAGTGAGCAAGTGGCAAGTGAGCAAGTGGCAAGTGAGCAAGTGGCAAGTGAGCAAGTGGCAAGTGAGCAAGTGAGCAAGTGAGCAAGTGGCAATTTATGTCAATAATCCGGCGAATGCCGACGTGAATTCACTCAAGAAAGCGATTGCTGCAGCTTGGCACACTGTGCCCCAAAATTACCATGGTGCCCCAAAATTACCCCGAACCAACCTCCTTTGCTGGATCTGGATATTTTGAAGCAGAAAGTTTGGGCACAAAACCAACTCGGAAACAAAATTTCGTGCTTTCAGCAGGATGGCTGCCCACAAAGCCCGAATTGTTCAAGGCTGGTGTGAACGAAACTTTCATCAGCTTTAAGCAGCCACCATCAAGCCACCATCAAGCCCCGATTTAAATCCGATGGATTACTCAGTCTGGAGTGTTCTCGAAGCAAAGACCTGCTCAAAAGCACATTAAAGCATTGATTCACTGAAATAATCACTCGAGAAAGCTTTGGCTGAACTTGATTCTGCGTATCTTTTGACCACCATCGGCTTCCCAAAGCGTCTCAGCACTTGTGCAACCGCTCATGGAGATATTTTCGAGAAGAAATAAACCTGAAAGCAAAAGCAAATTCTTGAAAGCAATCAAGAGAATCAAATTGTTAATGTTAATTTTTGTTTTTTCGATGAAAAGTTTTTTAAACCATAAGTTTTATTGGTTCAGGTAATTTTGGGGCACCGTGTAGATGAAAAACTCATCGACAACCTCGTTTTAAGCATGAACAACAGAGTTTTTCAAGCGATTCAGCATTCGGGGACTTATTTGATTATTCATTTGTTATTTGAAAGTTTACTTCACTTGTTCTGCTGTTTTTTTAGTTAATTTCTCAACTGGTCGTAAAACTATGTCTAGCAGCGTATTTTTGAGCTAAAAACTAAACCAAAAGCCTTTCAAGTGTTTATCTCATAAACTATCAATATTTTTTAGCAACAAAATGCTTTGATGAACGGATTGGGTGTTACGGGTGGAGCTGCTGTGGCTGGGAATGGAATGGTTCCATCTCCGTGTGCTCGAATGTGTTCCGTTAGGCCGCCAAGGAGTCAAGTCAGCAAAAAGGAGATGAGACTATTCATTCAGGTGAGATGGAGAGAAATTTGAGGCTTCAGAACTAGAATTTGTGCCGAAAGTATGTTTTCTAAAAGGCGCTTGGTGACGAATTCTAAAAGGCGCAAAGGTGACGAATTTAAGGTAACTGGTCGGGGTAACTGGTCGACTTGCTAGTCTCTAAATTGAACAGTCGTTAGGCGGCAAGTTCGATCCCCGCTCGAGTTAAATCTTTGCCCTTTTTCATAAAAATCTTTTGACTCTTCTTTTGACTCTTTGCAAGATCGATTCAGAGGGTTTTAGTTAACAGTTACTAAAGTTATTAGCTTTCAAAAGCATAGAAAAGTGATAAAACCGCTTTGAACAATTGAAAAGAGCAAATTTGGTACATTTTCGTTAAAGCTCTATAGATATTGTATTTCAAAAATAGAAAAAAGAACCAGAAATGAGACAAGCAAGCTTTTAAATGTAAATTTTGTAGGAAAAAATGCAAATGTGCATGAGTTCTTTTTGGGGATTTTACGCAAAATTACCGCACTTTTTAGAATACCATTACTTGAGATTTAACGAAATTTAAGATGAGTTTTGTAGCTACGTAATTGAAAAATTACTTAATTACTTGCTCGAGAGGAAGTCAATTCATAACTGATTTGATTGTGGACTCTTTACAAATCATTGTTGAAGCTATTGGGTTGGTGAATTGAAAACTGCCGGACTTTGAACTTTGAACTTTGAACAAAATTTATTCAACATAAAACCATAGATTCGTTCCAAATAATTTCCATTATTATTGATCTATTACTATTATTTATCTGTGATCTGTGTGATCATTTTCTAGGTTCTGTCATCGGCACCTGTAGGTCAGGAAGGCAAGGATCGACTCTAGCCTCCAAAACCCTCTTTGGGCTAAAAATTTACAAGTATTGGGTTCGTGACTTGAAAACTGCCGGACTTTGAACTAAAATTTATAAACCACAACATTTTCAACATAAAACCATAAATTCATTCCAAATAATTTCCATTATTATCGACGACTTCTGCCCATTTTACAGGCAATTTGCGGATTCCTCTTTCGTAGTAGGATTTTGGTTTGTGTGTGAGACAAGTGTGAGACTCAAAAATGAAGACTGGAGATCTCCCAGTTTGTCCAGTTTGAGCACTTTCTTCAAAAGAAACCCATTTTGGTGTCAATAGAAAAGTTGTAGAGAATCAAAAATTAGGTTTATAGCCAAATTTCCAAAAAGATACACTTAGTAGTTTCGCTTAAAATGCAAGTTTTGTGAAAATTCGTAAATTTGGCATTTCTTGAAAATCAGTTTTTGAATCGTTCTGAAAATTTGGATATAAGCTTGATTTTTGATTCTCTACAACTTTTCCATTGACACCAAAATGGGTTTCTTTTGAAGAAAGTGCTCAAACTGTCACATATCACAATAGCCCGCAGTTTTCAATTCACCAACCCAATATTTCACAGTTCCCTAACCCTTCAAAGACTTAATTTTTGATGTCTTCAACAATCCAACTCCAACAATAACCTTTTGATTTCAGTTTTTCGTCGTTTCCTTGGTTTTTCTCCTCACATGGACCACATGGCAATGGTTGCCGCATATGTCGACATCAAAATGGGCATTTTTCGCGATGACATCTCTCTTTTTCATCAACAACAGTGTGAATCCAACAGTAGGAAATGAAATCAATTGAGGAAATAAGCTAAAAAAAATTCAGGTTTATCTCATATTCAACTCTCAATTGAGACGAGAATTGCATTATCTTCTTTGCCGACAACATGCAATTGCTGTAAATCAACAGAAGAAGAAACGGACAAACGGATTTGATTATAATAAAAATGCTGTAAGTAGAAGTTTTTCTACTCAAATTTCGTCAATTTTTGCTTAATATACGATAATTTATTTGATATTAGTCAATTTCTTAGCCAATTTCTTAGTCAATTTCTGCTTTATCGGGGGTGGGACAAATGCGACCTTTTTTTCGCACCTGGACATTTGCGCACCTTTTTTTGTGCTGGAAAAGGCCTTAGGAAAGATCGTAGAGCTTCAAAAATGTTTTCATAGAAGGGAATCGTATGCGTAGATTCCGAATTTCGACAAATCAGACCTCGCTTGACACGTCAAATTTGGGCTAAAAGGCAAAAACCGCGGAAAAGCGTTAAGTTGCGTAGTTTTTGGCTTTTAGCCCAAATTTGACGTGTCAGCGAGGTCTGATTTGTCGAAATTCGGAATCTACGCATACGATTCCCTTCTATGAAAACATTTTTGAAGCTCTACGACCTTTCCTAAGGCCTTTTCCAGCAAAAAAAGGTGCGCAAATGTCCAGGTGCGCAAAAAAAAGGTCGCATTTGTCCCATCCCCGCTTTATCTACAATAATTTATTCAGAAAGAGGAAGATTCAAGTAAGTTGCAACCAAATCAGTGAAATAAATCGTAGAAATCTTTGAATTTGAAAACAATAACATGACAAAACCTTTGCTAACATTTTAAGTCTTTTTATTTGAATGTTAAACATTTTAAGGTGATAATGAAGCTTTGTTTAGATGAAATGCAACGTGATGGATGATGGATCATTGAGAAGAGTTCGGGAGAATGGACACTCGAATTCACAAAGCAGCAAAACGAGTACAACAGATGAACAATTGGAGAGACTGCATCAAAAACTTTTGGAATCAACCTTGACCACTGACTTGACCTTGACCGCTTTATGAGCAATCGTTTTCTGGTAGTATGATTGAGGCTCGATTGGTCGATCGTTCATCTAAATCTATCAGGATGTTAGCAGTGAAAAGCTGAACTAGCTGAATGCTTTTGGTTCTTCAACCTTGTCATTTCTTCAGCCTCAACCTTCAACCCATTCCTTCAACCCATTCTAATTATTAGTTAAAAACTAATACTTATCTTGAGTCACAGTTTGAATATGTAGACTTTACGATACAAATACACGGTGACTCACAAGCTCACACTCCAGAGGGTCTAGATTGTCCAAAATTGGGTCAATCGTTCTGATTTTGACTGGAGATAAATCTTAAGTATGTCTCTTAAAACGGTGCTCATTATCTAATCGATTTAAGCTTTCCACTTTTTTATATAACCTTCCAAAGTTGAGAGCCGCGTTTTGGTGACGTTCCAAAGTTCCAAAGTTTTGGTGACGCTACTCATTGATGAGATTTTGAAAGTCTCATTTTTTTTTGTTGAAAAGTCTTTAATATTTTAACGATTTTTAATTAATCATATTTACTTATGAAATTTAAAAGCCATTAACCTTGAAAAAATAAGATTTTTCTGTTCTTTGGCTTTTCTGAATGCCTAGGTGAAAACAGACAATATTAAGTGAGACAATTTTGGTGACATTTCTCAAGAATTTTTGCACTTAAACTGCGTAGAGTATGTGAAATTTCGTTTGTTAATATAATAAATGCAATCTTAACAAGATTTTGACAAGATTACTCTCAAAAATCCCATAAATGAGAAGCATGCCAAGCTCTCATGCCAAGCTCTCATGCCAAGCTCTCCTGCCAAGCTCTCATGCCAAGCTCTCATGCCAAGCTCTCATGCCAAGCTCTCATGCCAAGTTCTCGGCACTCAACATTGGAAGGTTATATAAAAAAGTTGAAAGCTTGAATTGATTAGATAATGAGCATCGTTTTAAGAGACAAACTTAAGATTTATTTTCAAAAAAATCAGAACGATTGACCCAATTTTGGACAATCTAGACCCTCTGAAGACTGGCGAATCTAGGCTATAATTGTGGGCCAACTTGTAGTGGGCCAACCAACCTGTAGAAACTAGAAAAGTTGTCTTGAAGTTGAAGTTGAAGTCAAGAGCACCATCAACAAGTAGAAAACACAGCTTCTATCAAAAATGACAAGGTTTCACTTGCTAACAGTTTAAAAGGCCATACTATAATACAAACTAGAACCTTTCTTCGAGCCTCGATCATAAGCTTTGCCATAAGCTTTCCTTTTGCCATAAGCTTCTTCTAACTTTCCTTTTTCCATAGTACAATTCTCTATCCAGCACTTTATTACTTTTTTCTTTCTTTCTTTATCCTTTTCTGATCTTTTATCTTTCTTTATCCTTTTCTTATCACTTTCCTTTGCGGGTTTTACATTTATCTCTTTGTTATAGATAAAATTTCCCACAAATTTTAGAGATAAATGATCTAGTTACTTTGGGTATCCTTGTGTCTTCTTTTTTTTTTGTTCATTTATTCATTTAGCCGATTTTTATCAGATAAAAGTTTAAATATTTATATTGGCACACAGAAATTTTGCGGGTGATATAAAACTCTTCAAAAAGGGCAAGAAGAAAATTGACAGTACGATAGGAATAAAATTGACAGTAATAAAACAAAATTGAGTCCGACAATGAGTACCAGCCATTCAGAGAAAATCGATATGGTCGTTTTTGTGAAGAAATTTGCTTAACAAATGTTTAACAAATGAAAATTACATGAAATGTGATGAAACAACAATTCTGTACAAACAGGAAATGAATAAATAAATGCACAGATTGAAGGGAATATTGCCGTTTTTTGCTAAACAAAAGTCTCCGTTATCAAGAGAAGAAATATTGGGTTGGTGAATTGAAAACTGCCAGACTTTGAACTAAAATTTATGCAACATAAAACCATAAATTCATTCCAAATAATGTCCATTATTATTGACGACTTCTGCCCATTTTACAGGCAATTTGCGGATTCCTCTTTCGTAGTAGGATTTTGGTTTTTGTGTGAGACAAGTGTGAGACTCAAAAAGGGAGGACTGGAGATGTCCGAGTTTGAGCATTTGAGCACTTTCTTCAAAAGAAACCCATTTTGGTGTCAATGGAAAAGTTGTAGAGAATCAAAAATTAGGTTTATAGCCAAATTTCCAAAAAGATACACTTAGTAGTTTCGCTTAAAATGCAAGTTTTGTGAAAATTCGTAAATTTGGCATTTCTTGAAAACCAGTTTTTGAATCGTTCTGGAAATTTGGATATAAGCTTGATTTTTGATTCTCTACAACTTTTCCATTGACACCAAAATGGGTTTCTTTTGGAGAAAGTGCTCAAACTGTCACATACCGTAAATACTGTAATAGTACCTCACCCCCATAATGACGGTGTGGAGTTTTGCCTAGTCTAGCTTTGAACGAGTTTTTCTCGACACTGGTTTATGCTACAATGCGCGCTTAGGTATCAAAAAATAGCTGAAATTCAGGGCTATTCTTGATACCAAAGACACATTTTTTGAAAGTACAGGTGCTTTGAAAAAAAATGAAATACTAAAAAACTTTTGCGACGACGCGACTGTACGAGGGGGGTGGGGTACTATTACAGTATTTACGGTATGACAATAGCCCGCAGTTCTCAATTCACCAACCCAATAGATAAAAACTTTTCAACTTTTCAACCTTTTCAACCTTTTCATCTAAAAGTTTCAACGATAAACCTTTCAAAATTTGATCTAATTTGATCTAATTTAACAAGTTTCAGCTTTTTCTTTTATTTCTACGCTTTTGATAACGAATTTGGAAAAACTTGGTCATTAATTGGATCATTTAAATGTATTCGTGAATGGGGAAAAGGATCGTTCGAATTTCCTCAATTGACGACAAAGTCCTCGCTTGAATTCCCGATTGAAAACTGTGTAGATGACGGGATTGATGCCCGAATTGCAGTAGCCCAACCAGAAGAAAAATTTGAACACAATCTCCGGAGCCTCCATCCCGAAAGCACCAAGAAGATACATTAACTAAAATTTATAGAATAGAATAGAGAGAAAACGAAAGAGATTTTGCGGTAGTACGGGTCTATTTCAACGCCTAAGCCTAAGTTTCAAGCAACTTTTGGTTCACTCGACTCATCAAATCCCTAGTGATCTTTAGAAATCGATTTAAATCTACATTTTAAGATTTAAATAGTAAAACTAAGAGTAAACCTGTTGTTAATTTTATAATGTGAAACAATATGAAGTCTTTTTAAATCATTGAGCTTTTCATTATTGAATCATTGAGCTAAATAGGTGGTTCAAGAGCAGGAAATTTGGCTTGTTTTGGCCTGTAATTTGTGCTTGTACAGCTTTCTTTGCCAGCTCTCTGGAGCACGGGATTTCTTCATTTTTAGCTATTTAAGTTATTCAGTCAGCCTAGAAGAGAGGCAAATAAAAGACTGTGCCAGATAACGCGTGTTTCCTAGAGCACAGAGTACAGGTCGGGTTTGGCTAACACAGATATTGTAAAAGGGTTTAAGAAGTTTTGATTAGGTATTAGAAGAAGAAATCAGGACCAATTGAACTTTGAGTGTCTTGGCTGATTTTGGTTTCGCCAGATCTTGAATTTGTAGCAAAAATAGAGCCAAATTTGAGGCAAAAACTGATCCCAAGCATTTGGGCATAGTGTCGCCCAAAACGGCGAAACCGGTATAGTATTAGGTCACCGTAGCCTTTCCAAAGAAGACTTTCTCTTTCTTTCAAACAGTGATCGTGGTATAATGGATCGTAGTACTGTCTACGAAATCTATCAAAGCTCTTTTGACCTTAGTTCAAATCCACAAGCTGACAAATCTTGATTTGCTTTTGGACAAGACTTTTATAGAAAGTTACTATAAAACAAAGTTTTGGGATATCTTATAAATGATTAAATTATAAAGATTTATATAATAACACTTGGTATTATTTGTTTTATTAGTAAAAGTCGTGAAAACTCACAAAAAATGGCAACCATGAAAGAATGAAGGCAGACAGGATAATACCCAGTAGTAAAGTGGCTTGTCGTTCTTTTGCCTAGAAGTTTTCTGGTTAAATCTTTCAAAAAAATAACAATTAAAATTCTAAAAGTTGTCTTTCGAAAGGTCCGATCCAGATCTAGATCCGATCCAGATCCAGATCCAGATCCAGAACCAGATCCGATCCAGATCCAGATCCAGATCCAGAACCAGATCCGATTCAGATCCAGATCCAGATCCAGATCCAGAACCAGATCCGATCCAGATCCAGATCCAGATCCAGAACCAGATCCGATCCAGAACCAGATCCGCTCCAGATCCAGATCCAGATCCAGATCCAGAACCAGATCCGATCCAGATCCGCTCCAGATCCAAATCTGAGCCAGATCCAGATCCGATTCAGATCCAGGTCCAGAACCAGAACCAGATCCAGAACCAGATCCGATCCAGAACCAGATCCAGGTCCAGAACCAGATCCAGAACCAGATCCGATCCAGAACCAGATCCGCTCCAGATCCAGATCCAGATCCAGATCCAGAACCAGATCCGATCCAGATCCGCTCCAGATCCAAATCCGAGCCAGATCCAGATCCGATTCAGATCCAGGTCCAGAACCAGAACCAGATCCAGAACCAGATCCGATCCAGAACCAGATCCAGGTCCAGAACCAGATCCAGAACCAGATCCGATCCAGAACCAGATCCGCTCCAGATCCAGATCCAGATCCAGATCCAGAACCAGATCCGATCCAGATCCGCTCCAGATCCAAATCTGAGCCAGATCCAGATCCGATTCAGATCCAGGTCCAGAACCAGAACCAGATCCAGAACCAGATCCGATCCAGAACCAGATCCAGGTCCAGAACCAGATCCAGAACCAGATCCGATCCAGAACCAGATCCGCTCCAGATCCAGATCCAGATCCAGATCCAGAACCAGATCCGATCCAGATCCGCTCCAGAACCAAATCTGATCCAGATCCAGATCCGATTCAGATCCAGGTCCAGAACCAGATCCAGATCCAGAACCAGATCGGATCCAGAACCAGATCCAGGTCCAGAACCAGATCCAGATCCAGATCCGATCCAGATCCAGATCCGATCCAGATCCGATTCAGATCCAGCAGAAATTTCAAATCGACTCACTTTAAGCTTTCTCCGTCGTTTCTCGATATTCTCTTCTCGATTACAATTCCCATTTGCTTCTTTTCGACTCGAGAAAAAAGCTGCTAGCTGAAAATTTGACTTTGAACATGTTTAATTAGCTTTGTCTGTGTTTGTGTTTAGCTTTAAACTTTAAATAAATAACTGTAGATTTAAAGAACTGTGCTTAAATAATAAAAGATTGAAGATTTACTTGACTCTTCTTCTCTTCTGTAGTCACTTGTGAGAGTTCTTCCGAGATTTTTCTCAAATGCCAGCACACTTGATTGATCGCCATCTAAAAGAAAAAAAAATGAATGAATATTATTGAAAAATCAAAATTTCCTTTAATTTCCAAACCTTGTTATTATCCTTTTCTTCGTCATTTGGGTCCGAGTTCTCCTCCTCCATTTCGGGAGTTTGAGTCTTTTGCGTGGAATCGGAAGCTGGAGCGCTGCCTGGAATTCGAAAGGTTTAGCATATTTTTCCAATCTCTTCCAATTCTAATAAGTTTTGTTTTATAAAATCGGATTTTCGGTTAATTTGTTTAAAACTTACATTCAGTTGTCCTATTCGCAATACTTGCAGTGGCTGTCAATCGAACGAGGGTTTTATCCCGTCTTTCCGTTTCTTTCAATCGTTGTCGACTGAAATTTAAGGATTCACGAGATTCAAGAGATTCAAGGGATTCAAGAGGTTCAAGAGGTTCAAGAGATTCTAGAGGTTTAGGAGGTTTAGGAGATTTAGGAGATTCTGGAGATTCAAGAGATTCAAGAGATTCTGGAGATTCACGAGCTTCAAGAGATTCAAGAAATTCAAGAGATTCAAGAGATTGAAGATATTGAAGAGATTCACGAGCTTCAAGGGATGCAAGAGGTTCAAGAGGTTCAAGAGATTCAAGAGATTTAAGAGATTCAAGAGATACATGAGATTTAAGAGGTTTAGGAGATTCTGGAGATTCTGGAGATTCTGGAGATTCAAGGGTTTCAAGGGATTCAAGAGATTCAAGAGATTCAGGAGATTCAAGAGTACAAATTCTCAAATTTAAGAGTAATACAAAGTTAGATCCAAAAAGAATGCCTTCACTCACCTATGCCGTATTGTGATACTATAGATCTTCGCGTAAACACATATCAAAACAATGACTGGGATATAGAAAGAGCCCATTGCGGAATAGAGAACATAGCCTAAAACAAGAATGAAGTTATGAGAAAGATTCTTGAAAGCTTGAAAGCTGAAAATCTTTTGAACAAAATACTTACCAATATCTGTACTCAATGAACACTCTCCAGGTTTCCTTTCAGGCCTCCAGCCGAGAATCGGGGGCAAACAGATCAACAATGAGACCAACCAAGAGATTGCTAAAATAGAGCAATTGCATAAGAATATAGAGCATAAGAATTTAAAAAGCAAGAAATAAGAATTTTGCTAAGTTTATCTACTCACCAATCATTGTAATCATTCTCTGTGGAGTTCTCTTCGCTGGATAAGTCAACGGAGAAGTGACAGAGAAATATCGATCCAAAGAGATCGCACAGATGTGAAGGATTGAGGCGGTGACGAAGAGGACATCCAAAGCAAGCCATGTCTCACATAGCAACATTCCTGAATATGGGATTTAGATACAGAACTGATTTAGATGCAGAACTCAGTTCTGTAGCTCGGCTTTACAAAGGATTGGACTATAGCTAGCGCAAGATATTGGAGAAATGAAGGATTTGACTTACAAGGGAAAGGCAAACTCAAGCGGCTTTTTGACTCGAGTCAGCCACAGACTCAGTCACTGACTCGAGTCAGACACAGATTCAGTCACTGACTCGAGTCAGACACAGACTCAGTCACTGACTCGAGTCCATCTTATAGAGTCAGCCATGAGGATCTCGAATCCGTTTCTAGTTTTTGCGGAACGCTTGCAATCGCGAGATATTTGGCATAGGAAATCATCTTGAATCATCTTGAATTTTGAGCTTCTTATAGGGTCTTCATACACCTCATACGCCTCGAGCTCGTTTGGTATCGCCACTTGCTCGCATAACAGTTGCTTCGGTGGTCTAGTGGATAATCTGCTAGACTACCGAACCTACTTCTCTTTTGGTCCCAAGTTCGAGTCCGACTCTCGGCAAACTTTTTTCGCTTTCATAAAAACTGTTTCTCTACGTATTTTTGTTTACTGTTTGTACTTATTACTATTTACCTATGCATAATAGAATTAAATTTTATGCACCGCTTTCTGTAGCTTTCAGAAATGTAGCAAGAAATGTAGCCAGAAATGTTGAATTTTTCAATATTTCTTTACTGGTTCTGATACTTTGGAAGGCTCCAGCTTTGTAAATTGTAAATTAAAATTTCATCATTAAAATTTAAATCGTTGCAGTTACGGAAAACTGTGTATAAAACTAGAGTCAATAATTCAATGCAAAGGGAAACAGTTTTTTAGAAAAGCAAAAAGCTCTTTGACGAGGGTGGGACTCGAACTTGAGGCAAGAAATGTCGATCAGTTTCGGTAGACCAGCATACTATCCACTAGATCATCAAAGCAGTTGTCCAGGGAACTTGTAGAGGCCTTATAAAGAGCTCGAAATTTAGATGTCTTTGTAAAAACTAAAAACGGATTCTAGATCCCCATGTTGACTCTATGGTCAAAAGGTACAAGTGTCAAAAGGCCATGTCAAAGGCCATGTCAAAAGGCCAGCTTGGCCAGCTTGGCCAGCTAGGCCAAAAGGCCCTTTGCCTTTAAGTATTAGCGGGTAAATGAACCAACTAGCTTAACAGTTCTTGCAACACTTGTAAATTTGTAATTGTAGTTCGCTCTTTATAAGGCATTTGTTCTTGTAGTTCGCTTTGTTCTTGTAATTTGTTCTTTTAAAAGCTTAAGAGCTCTTGTAAATTCTTCAGTACTATCTCTTACCCATCCTCCATTCTCCAAAGACCTCATAGGTCAATGTCAAAGGCATCACGAGTAGACCAACAAGCAGATCAGCCACCGCCAACGAAACGATCAACCAATTTTGTCGTTGCATTCTCAGCTTTCGATCTCGATACACTGTCACGACGACGATGAAGTTTCCCAATACTATCAACTAAAAAAAATAGCATAAATTGATTAGTCACTTGTCTTTTGTTATTCCTTTCCATCCCAGGTTAATCTTTGAAAAGTAGAAGAAGCAAGATTTTTCCTTTTTGCATCACTCATTTTCCATTCTATTTGAGCATTCCGATGTTCACTTCAAACCTTCTATATTATGTTCTACATTCACTCACACATTTCTTGAAAAGTTTCATGAAAAAAGTGTACTTTTCATTAAGAATCACGTTTCATTTTAGTCTATGCATCAATGAGAATTCGGAATAGAACTCTCGTGATCTTATCTAGAATGAAATTTTGCACTTTTGGATTGAAAACTGATCATTAACCCACGTTTTTTTTCTATTTTAAGCCTCGAATTTCTCAAGAACTTTGAAAGATCAGGTATTTTGGGGATTTTGGGAGAATTTCAATTCCGTGAAATTCCAATAACTCAAAAAATCGCCGGGAATTCGCCTTCTAATCTGATTGACATTTAGGCAATTGAAATTTTGCTTGCTTTCCCTTATAAAGTTTTACTTTCCCTTAGTAACGGACATCAAGACTCAAGTCTTGCGAAAAAATGGGAAAATGAGTCATTTTAAAGGGTTCAACTGTGTCGTAAGCAGTTGATCGACAAAATGGAGATCCTTTGCTTGATAATGATTAAAGAGATGAGCAAAATGGAGATGATTAAAGAGCAAACTACAATTTTGACTTCACTTTACCTATATTTAAAGTCTTCCCGAAAAGTTCAGGGTCAAAAGCGATGAAAGATGACACCACATCTCATCTTTATGCAAGTTTTTTTTGGCTTTCTTGTGACCCCGTCAAGTGGAAGGGCTAAACAGGGAATGTAGGAGACATTCATGCAGAGAGACCCTAGGGATTTCTTTTCAAAAAAACAAAGAACCGAAAGAACTTGGGATGAAGAACGGCCAGTCAATCTTTCTCTGAAATCTCCCTAGAGAAAGAAAGAGATCGAGAACGATGATTGACTGGCTTGGAAGTCGACAAAATTATGTCTAAAAAACGGAACTAGATCAAAGGTTTGCTTCCAGAATTCTTCTGGGATTTCGACTAATCTAAATCTCATCAAAATCTGAAAATTGTATTGTCGAAAGTTCAATGTGAATTTGAGCAATGACTCCATTGGGAATTTGACTGAATGCTCAATTTTCTTCAAGCAATCTAGCTTCCAGAACTTAATTTCTAGAATTTCCAGCAATCCCAGAGCTTCCAGAAGCCCCAGAATTTCCAGAACAAATTTCAAGCTTCAATTGGGCTATTTACATTGGTCATTGGCCGATTTCCATTAAAAACAAGTTCAAATATGACTTTTATGTGCTCAATCGACCATAATGAGAACAATAAGCGAATGTTTTCCTGTTTTGTGGGAATGTTTTGGAATGTTTTGACAACGGGGGAAAGGGAAGGGTCTGTGGTCGACCCCCCCCCTGCCAAGTTGGCAACTCGGCGCGGTTGGGTTCGACTCCCATGGGTCCCCCCGAGCGCCCCAGCCCGGCCATCGGGCATCGCAACCCCCCCCCCCCCCCTATAAAGGAGGAGGGGTTGTTACCCGCCCAAAAAGAGAAGACAAAACAAAACATTATTTTATTATTTTGTTTTGCCAACGGGGGCTCAAATAATCAAAGTTGTTGATACTCTTTGGTCATCAAAGGGGCTGTGATGTGAAATTGATGGATCTAAGCTATAATTACTGCAAACGATGTGTTTCTAAATGTTTTCTACTGAAACGTTTGATGAATCAAATTTTTCGATGAAGTGACGTAGGAGTAATTGGGTAAATTACATTTATTCGAAACGAATATCTGAATTACAACATAACGGAGGAAATCATTGCCCTTAGTTACCCCTATTACCCAAATGTTGTTAAGAAAAAGCCATAATGATGGCAAAAAAGAACTTTTTCTGGCTGCCGGGATCGAACCTTTGACTCCCCGACTAGGAGACAAGACTCCTATCCGGTTTGATCCGGATAGAAGTCTAGCTACAAGTTAAAAGTTTGTTGGTAAGCTAAAAGTTTGTTGAAAAAGATGTTTAATGTTGTTTAATTTGAAAAAAAGATGTTCGATACTTATGAAATCGAAATTCTTAACACATTCGCCACGGGACATACGTGAATTTATCATTTTTTAAAGGTCAATTGGGTTGTAATTTTGCAAACAGGGGCTTTCGAGGATGAGGAATTCGAATCCGTTATTAGTTTAGGTCAATTTACGGCCCACTGGTGGATTTAGCACTTTTAAAGCCAATTGGGTTGTAATTTTGCAAACAGGGGCTTTCGAGGATGAGGAATTCGAATCCGTTGTTAGTTTAGATCAAATCTGTTATCATTTTTTAAAGAAAACTACTCTATTGTTGGATATTTCATTCGGTTTAATCACTCAAGTAAATAGTTGTCATCCGAAACGGCAGCCAAGACAAAACTTTGTCCAACTTTGTCATGAATGTGCTAACCTTATCAATCATCGAGTAAACAAGCTTCCTTATCTGTCAACTTTCATAGAACTTCCTCATCCATCGACAATTTCTCAAATAAATCGAATTTCCCGACAAAACTTGGATGTCCGATTTTAGGGTGTTTTCTTGTGGTCTTTTTCTTTAAAACGTTCAATCTCTCTTTTTCTTTTTAACCTTTTCTTTTTAACCCTTTCTTTTTCATCGAGAAACGCGTTTTGCATAAATGAGGTGAGCAGAAATCCAAGAAAAAGCAAACAAATTTCCCAGGCTTTTCCAATTTTTGAACTCTCATTATCACTCATCTTTTCCTTAAAGATTTCCCAAATCGATTTGAAGCTTTTTTCCCCAAAATCCCCATAAATATCTGAAGAGTTCCTGGATTCTTTATAGACAAAAGGCCGGGGAAATGTTTCTCTGACTTGACAAGGCAAAAAATTTTTAATGATCATTTCTTTTTAATGACACGAAGCCATAGTTGGAGTTTTCTAAAGAATGAAAGTGAAAAAAAATGAGAAATACGGCACGTGTTTGCCTTTTTTTCTTCCGCATTCTGATAATCCCACTCAATTTTTCTCTGAAACTTTAAAGGAAAAGCTTTTGCTTTAAAGTTTACTTTTTTCTTGGGTTAAGAAGTGACTTTAGATGTCACTAGTGAGGATTTCCCCCATCGTGAATTCTTTTCAAAGTTATTTGCGAGTTCATTTGTCAGTTCAAAGGCCGATAGTTGAGAGAAGTAAAAAGCTTTGGGTAAAAGGAAGAAAGCCTATTGTTTTTGTGAGAAAGAAGCAGACTAAGGCTCAAGCTTAATCTTTCAAGCGTCAGCTATTAACAAAACTCACCAAAGTCATGGCCATCGCCATCAAGATTGCCTGCATATTTTGAATATAATAAAGAAAAGCTTTAGTTTATCTGAAAAAGTCAGATACTAATAAGTTTCTTAAAGAGCTTGACCCAAGCCAATCTTTGTCAGACTATGCGACAGGTCAGCTTGACCCAAGCCTATTGTTCTTTGTCAGACTATGCGACACGTCAGCTTGACCCAAGCCTATTGTTCTTTGTCAGACTATGCGACACGTCAGCTTGACCCAAGCCTATTGTTCTTTGTCAGACTATGCGACACGTCAGCTTGACCCAAGCCAATCTTTGTCAGAATATGCGACACGTCAGCTTGACCCAAGCCAATCTTTGTCAGACTATGCGACACGTCAGCTTAACCCAAGCCAATCTTTGTCAGACTATGCGACACGTCAGCTTGACCCAAGTCAATCTTTGTCAGACTATGCGACACGTCAGCTTGACCCAAGCCAATCTTTGTCAGACTATGCGACACGTCAGCTTGACCCAAGCCAATCTTTCGAATTGGCCTATTGTTCTTTGTCAGACTATGCGACAAAATAGACTTTATATGTACTGTAAGAGATTGAGATTGATAGCTGCTTTTGTACTGTAAGACATTGAGATTCATCGCTCACAAGCAACGGCGTATCCAGGCTTTCGCGACTTTCAGTCAAACGACTCGAGATTTTCGCATTTTAGTGCTAACATTTCGATAAAACGAATTTTAGGTAAATTACCCAAGGTTTCACCAAGTGCTGGGCCAAAATGGATGGCCGCATGCGGGGTCGAACCCGGCAACCTCGGATTTAGAGACAGAGGCTCTGGCACTTAACCACGAGGAGAGGTTGATTCGGGACCTTTTTTGGGCTTTTTCCTCTCGTTTGACGTCGGCCATTTTCACTTTTAAAAAAGTTTTTTTTCTATTTTTAATCGCCAAATTCTCGAAAACTAGATGGACAACCGTTCTTGATCTTAAACCATTCCTCTAGTCAAATTTTCTCTACTTTCTGAAACTCATAACATTAGTTTTGTAAAATCAATTATTAATGTCTAATAGCTTTATCGAAATGCACTAATCCAAATCTTTAAATCCAAAAATCTCGAGCTCTTTGCATGTTTTTAAGAAGCTGTTTAGACGGTTTTTGTGACTACAAAACTTTAGACAGTTTTGTAGCCTCAAGAATATGATTTTTTGATCGGAAATTAATCAAGGAGGTCATTAGACTGAAAGTCAACAAATCCTGGCAACTCCCAAGCTCAACAAGAACACAAATCTAACCCCACCAGCATAACGGTGACAGCTGAGGCGATCGTGATGACAGCTTGCGGGAATGGGAGACATGAGAGTGGAGGTGAAGCTCGAGCACACACATCTTCGATCTCTAGTCCAGGCAACATCGGAAGAATGTTTTGAATATATAGAAATGATCAAGATCTCATCTTTTCGAGGAATCTGAAATTGAAAAGTGTTTTCTAATGAAATCATGAAAGAAAGTTGATGAAATTAGAGTGAAATTGGGTTTAAAAGTTGATAAAATCGAGATATTAAAGCTTTAAATTCAAGGAAATCGAATAGGCAAAAATAATGAAAGAAAATTCATGAAACTGGAATGAAATTAGGTTTAAAATTTGCTAAAATCGAGCTCTTCGATTTCAATTCAAGAATTATAGCAAAAAGGATGATATTCAATAAATAGATTTGAATTCCGTGAGATTAATAAAATCATAGAACCCAACCATTTGAACGCGCTCAATTCCCAAGAGGCAATTCATATCATTTCAACATTACTTCAAACAAAAACCATTCAAAAAGAAGCTGATTTAGAAAGCAACGTAAATCTTTTTGCTTATTTTATCAAATTTTAAGTTCAAAGAAACCGAATCGACATTTTGATTCAGGTACAAAACTCTTTTTCTGCTACAAAAACGGTTATTGTATGTCTTCTGAAGCTTGTCATGCGTTTTAAAATCCCTGCAAAAAGGTAGACAAGAAAAATTGAGGTAAGTAATAATTTTGAAAGAAGAAAATGAATGCTAGCTGTAAAATGATTTTGAACACAAGTTCACAAAACAAATACTGGAAAATTTCCAGGTACTGGAAATGGTGATGGACCTGGTAATGGAGGAGTTGGGGGTACTGGCGTGGGAACTGGCGTGGGAACTGGCAATAACAACGGAGGAATGCCTGGCACTGGAAATGGTAATTGAGGAAACAAATTTCCAGCAAAATAATTCAAAATCTCTTTATCAGTTTTCTAAATCTCTTGGGGAAAAGACAATGGCACAACAACAATGGCAAATGTGATCAACAATTTGTTGAGAGCTAAAAGCTTGTTGATTCTTGATCACAAATGAAATTTTTTGTAGGAAATTGGTTAAAAATCAGAAGAATGTATTGAAATTGAGCTGTGGCAAAGTGTTGAAGAAAATTTTGAACTTTTAAAACCGGTAAACGGTTAGAAAAGCAGAGCTTGGATGTACAGCTTGATGAGTAACAGTGAGTTTCTTTTGTTTAACCCAAAGAACAGCTAAAAGTTTAAATAAAAAATGACGAAGAGGACGATGTTTGATGAAAATGCTTTTACCGTTTGCAAATCCGGATTTACTCTGGCCACTCACTGATTTTAGGAGCGATTTTGTTTTTTGAGGACAGCCCCCGCATCCTCTTTTTCTTCTTCTTCCTCTTATTCTTCCTCTTATTCTTCCTCTTCTTCTTCTTCTTCTTCCTCTTATTCTTCTTCTTCTTCCTCCTCTTCTTCTTCTTCTTCTTCTTCTTCTTCCACTTATTCTTCTTCTTCCTCTTCTTCTTCTTCCTCCACTTCTTCTTCTTCTTCCTCTTCTTCTTCTTCTTCTTCTTCTTCTTCTTCTTCTTCCTCTTCTTCTTCTTCTTTTAAAACGTGCTGTCTTTCAAAATTAAATCTCTTCTTGTACAAAAATATTCCAGAAAATATCTTCCATTAACATTTTCCGGTATTTTGCATTAGTTGGAATCCTGGAAAAAATTTCTGATAGGCTTACAGTGTTAACCATTCGATGACACAAATGAGAAAACTAAAAAAATTGTGTTAAGAAACGAGAAGTACAAGCTTTTCTTTTCTAGAAATGTTCTTTCTTGTTGACCAAATGAGGAAGTAAAGATTCAAAGCTTTAAAACACCAAAACTGATCTCTGCTTTTTTGCATAAAGTGATTGACCAGCAGCAAAAATTCAGGAACAAATTTAGCACAAAACTCAAAACTCTCAACTTTTTAAAGGAAAGTGTCAAAGCTGAGAGAATTGTTGAATATATTTGGACAAGTGAAAGAGTTGGAGGAGGAGTCTAAAGGGGAAAGGGGGATGGGCAACGAGTGACAGGTCTCTCTCTTTATTGGGCGGAACTTCTTAAAAGGACGAGATGTTGGAATCCTTTTTAAGAGATCCTTTTGCTTTAAGACTTGAGTCTTGATGACTTCAAACTTAGTGGTTCTTCAAGGGAAAAACGGCTTTTCCCTGAATCGTGATCTTTTGAAGCCTTTTGAAAGCCTTTTGAAAGTTTCGAAATGCGAACTGTTTATTCTTAAGACATTTGTTAAGGAAGAGGATAAACTGCTTCAAAACTGACAAATGTTGAAAGAGCTTTCCCCTCTCCATAGCTTTTCTAAATTTCTTCAAAGAAAGAAGTTGGAAGTGAGTCTTTTGTTGCTCAGGCTCAGGCTTAGGCTCAGGCTCAGGCTAAGGCTCAGAGGTGGTGAATTGAAGCCTTCATTGCTATCGATTTTGCTCCACCTGTAATTACTATTTTCTCTAATAGTAGTGCACCACGAGTTGATGCCGATTTTGTTGTTTCCAAGCTTTTGCAGAAGCTCAACACTTAAATCCCCCACAAGATCTCATCGCCAGCTACATTTTTCGATCCCACATCGATAGGTTCTGATAAGCGGTTCTCGAGATTTCGAGTAATTTAGGCGACGCTCATGGTGCACTACTATTAGAGAAAATACAGTATATGGGAAAAGAGGATCTAGCCAACAGGATTAAACAATCTAGGGATTGCTTGAAACAACAACTGGATTGAACCCTTGACTTCCCGACTAAGATACAGGGCTCTCAGCCAGTCAGCTATGGCCAGCTATGGCGATCTTAAACATCGATCGGTTCTGATAAGCGGTTTTCGAGATTTCGAGCAATTTAGGCAAAGCTCACGGTACATTAATATTAGAGAAAATACGGTAAACGAATAAACTAGTACTTTGTGCTGAACACATGTAAACACATCTTTTCCAGATTGATTTCTGGCTATTTAAGTGAACTTTTTATGTATGAATAATGACTTTTGTGACAAAAGACCATGAAACTGACTTTTTTGGGAAAAGACTTTCAGCGAAAGAGCAAAAGCGACTCAAGAATAGCTTTTCAGAGAAGCCGAAGGACTGTAAAATTCTGGCAAACTGTGTTTTCCGCTACCAAAGTGGGAATAAATCTTTCCTATGAGTCAATGGACTATTGTTGGCGCTAAAGCAGTAAACTAAAACTCAGTGATATCAAAATATTACTGAGTTTTAGTAAACTTGAACTGACAAGAAAAGAATATCTCAATGAACTGCTTCCTCGCGGCTCTCGAACATCAAAACAAACATTTCAACGTCGAAGTAGGAAAAAAAAAGTTATGACGGGCTTAAAATCTCAAAATCGGCAAAAGGTTAGAAAGGATTTCCTTTAAAATCTCTGCCTTGAAATGGCATAAAGATTATTTCACTGTTTTTGGCCATTTTTGGGCCACAACCATTTCTTTTTCTGATTTTCGATTATTCATTTGACATTTCAGCTCTAATTTCTCAAATAGTCCCAAGAGAATTTTTGTGCTCAAAAAGGAAACATTAAAAAGACTTAAAATCTATATTGTTGAGTAGAATGAATCACAAAAAAAGTAAAGAAAAAGTTGCTAAAAAAGTGAATGGCAAGTTTTCTTTTGCAAAATATTTAAACATCAATATTTGCCATATAGAATTTGAGAAAAAACGTGTGAAATAGTAAAGCGATAACAAAGATATTTTAGTTTCCGATTTCCGAATAAAAAAATTGAAATCTAGAAAACCAAATCTTTGCTGAGCTATTAGATCAGAATACAAATGTCGAAATAAAGATCTTTGCATTAGATTTTCATTAGTAATTTTGCAAGATATCCATTTCCAAAGGGTTAGATGAAGATAAAAACCCGGATTTTCTTCTAAAATTTTCTATTTTTTGACTCCTGATTGTTTGATTTGTTTAGGACAAATAATAAGCCAATCAGGGATTTGAATTTGTTGAAAACAATGGGAACAAATTGAGAGTAAATTGAGAGTAAATTGAGAGAAAATTTCGACTGATTCAAATGATTTGTTATGTGATCTGAAGGTGGGAAAGGAAAATGAGAAAGGAAAAGGTTTGACAAACAAAAAGGCAACAACTGAAGGAAAATCTCGTCACTTTTTATAGGAAAGGTGATTGGATTGAAATCCCTTTGTGAAATTGAGACACGAGGGAAGAAATGGCCTTTCAGAAAAAAAAAGGAATCTATGGAGAATGAGAATGAACGGGGGGGGGGGAATTGAAGGAATTAAATGGGGGAGAAGGGGTGAGATTAAACATCTATTTCAGTTCATCGAAGACAACAATTTGATGGAGTTGCATGGAAAGTGAGGATACTCTATGACAGTGGAATGGTTTGAAATGATTTTTGGAATGCTTTGGAATGGTGGAATGATTTGGAATGAAATGGAATGTTTTTTGGAATGGTTTGGAATGGTGGAATGGTTTGGAATGGTTTTTCGAACGATTTGGAATGGTGGAATGATTTGGAATGAAATGGAATGATTTTTGGAATGGTTTGGAATGGTTTTTGGAATGGTTTGGAATAGTGGAATGATTTGGAATGGTTTTTGGAACGATTTGGAATGGTGGAATGGTTTGAAATGATTTTTGGAATGATTTAGAATAATGGAATGGTTTGGAATGATTTTTGGAATGCTTTGGAATGGTAGAATGGTTTGCAATGGTTTTTGGAATCATTTGGAATAGTGGAATGGTTTGAAATGATTTTTGGAATGACTTAGAATAGTGGAATGATTTGGAATGGTTTTTTGAATGATTTGTAATAGTGGATTGGTTTTTGATCGAAAAGGAAATAGTTAAAGAATTCTATGTTAAAATTTAGCTTCATAAGCTGCTAAAGTTCCTTTTCTTTTTGGTAGCTTTGAAAAAGACGTTGAAAATGGCTTTGAAAATACCCAAAACAGTTTTAAATTTCCTTTGAAAGCTATTCAAAAGATCATCAAGACACAAAACATCAAGACACAAAGTTTACCTCAACTGCAAAATTTGTGTATTCAAGAAAATCGCTAAACCCTCATGTATTCTCAGAAACCCAAATTTTCTAC